TTTTTTTTTTTTCATTTAAGACACAAGAAAATCGTATAGTACCACATAAGATAAAGAGAGAAAACCGTGGGTGTGTGTGTGTTGTCTTGTAACCATCTACACTTTGGTACCAGTCTGCTTGTCTATAATCGGTTGTTTTTTTCCTATTCACTCACTGTCGTCTATCCAGATACTGTGAACTGACAGCAAACAAAGATATTGGACTTTGTTGAGGAGTCCCAATTTAAAATATTTTACCTGATTATTTCCAAATGTACCTAGGTTCTAAAAATTATCATCACTAAACATGTAAGAGGATAGCCCACTCCCTCATTAATGAAAACCACAGAAGCCTCTAGACAAACACACACAAATTGCCACTCTAATTTTTCTCAACTCCAAAACTCAATTTAGACAGAGAATAATTTAGACATAAAATAATACAGCCAGACAGATATTTAGAGACATCAAGTTCAGTCACCCTTGATCTACAATGAAGAAGTGGAAGCCAGATGGGTTTGGGGATTTACCCAAGATTGCACAGCTTGTTAGGGACACAGCTGGTTCAAGAAAGGTTCAAGAAACCTGATGCTCTGGTTCTCAGCCTGGACCACTACACAGTACTTGTAGCATTTCAGATGACATTCTGGTATCTGTGTTAAGAAGAAAAATATCTGAGAAAAATGTGTTTCTACAGGTTTCTCAGAGGGTTGGGGGAGGAGGAGTATAGATAGAAATGGCAGAGGGCAAATGAAAGGAATTCTTGAATGAGACTGGAACTTAGAAAAAGTGTGTTTTGTGGCAGCAACACAGTTCACTTTTCTATCTACCCTTGTTTTCAGAATTTTCCCCAGAGAATACCTCCTTCAACAGATCCACCTGTATTCCCTTGCTGACCTACAGCAGGTAAGTGCTCAGATGGGTCATTCATTCTCATTTTCTCCCTGGGGAAGTCTCTGTTGATTATGGTCTTGGCACTGAATTCTGCCATCATTTGGGATACTTTTCATCATAAGCTTTGATGCTCAATTTCTATTCAGAATGGGAAAAAACTTAGTATAAAAAGATTCAGTATAGGACAATAACAAATGTTGGCAAGGATGTAGGGAAACTGGAGCTCTCAAAAATGGCTGGTGGGAATGTAAACAACCACTTTGGGAAACAGTTTGACAGTATCTCACACAGTTAAACGTAGAATTACCATTATGACCCAGCAATTCCACTCCTAGGTATATACACAACAGAATTGGAAACCTGTGTTCACATAAAAACTTATACACAAATATTCAGAGCAACATTATTCATAATAGCAGAAAAGTAGAAACAACCCAAATGTTAATCAGCTGATGAATGGATAACCAAAATATATATCCAAACAACGAATATTATTCAGCCATAAAAAGAAATGAAGTACTGACACATGCTACAATGTGGGTGAGCCTTGAAAACATCATGCTAAACGAAAGAAGCCTCACACGAAAGATCACATTCTGTATGATTCTATTTAAATAAAATGTCCAGTATAGGCAAATCCATAGTGACAGAAAGTAGATTAGTGGTTGCCAAGGCCTGGGGAGAGCAGAGGAATGAGGAGTAACTGCTAATGGATACAGGTTTTCTTTTAGGGCTGATGAAAATGTTCTGGAATAATGGTGGTGGTTGCATAACCTTGTGAATATACTGAAAACAACCTAATTGTTTACTTGAAGGAGTGAATTTTATGGTATGTAAATTATATGTCAGTAAAAAAAAAAAAAGTGTAAAAAAAAGATGTAAAAGGCAATGAATGTGTTAAGCCCTTTGACT